ATCGACTACGGAAGCCATTCACCTTGTGAAGAGACTGGTTGAACAGTTTAGCAAGAGGGAAAGGGACTTACATATGGTGCTCATCGTCTTAGAAAAAGTATACGACAAAGTCCCATGAGAAGTTCTTTGGAGATGTATGGAGTCTAGACGTGTACTTGTAGCATACATTAGGGTGATTAAGGAGATGTACGATGGATCCAATACCCCCGGTGAAGTATCACGACTCAAATCCCAACTGTGGGGTCGTGTTGGCGCCTAATATCCATTTGCTAGGCAAGCCAATATTAGCTAACTACTTGACCAGTTTTAACAATTTATAAGAGAGTAATGATATTGATAAACTCGAAAATGAACAAGGTATTTTTATATAAATAACGCGGTACTAAACTACTCCCTGAAATCTGGAGTCACAAGTACATGAGCAACTAAAAAACTACAAATATAATCTAAAATAAAGTACAACTATCTAAAACAATATAAACAGTAAATGTGATGGAGGGGGACTTTAGGGACTGTGAACGTCGAGCAGCTCTACCTCAAGTCTTTTATAACAATTGAATCTGAGAAGTCTCTATTGTGTGCTGCTAGGACCAACACCTGGATCTACACAAGAAGTGCAAAAGTGTAGCATGAGTACGACCGACATCATGTACTATGTAAGTGTCGAGCCTAACATTGACGAAGTAGTGACGAGGCTATGGAAAAACACTCAGAATAATTTGTACGAAATATAAGAACAGAATACATAAATAAAAATAAAGCAGTAAACTCATATAAACATACCTGAAGGTCAACTACCAGAGGCCCCAGAATAACATGATCTTAAACCTCATATCACAATACCGAGAATAAATGTTACAACCACAAACAAATACAACACATCAACTATGTTACGGCGCACAACCCGATCCCAAAACTTACCAAAATAACTGTTCGGTGTGCAACCCGATCCCAATATTAAATACAATAATTGTTGCGGCGTGCAACCCGATCCCAATATCAATTGATTTCAATACTGTTGTAGCGTGCAATCCAATCCCAATATCAAATCATTTATCTTATCAACTTAACACAATTAGTTACTGAATCTCAACACAAAAGGGAAATGAAATGAGCGGGACATTAAGGAACTACCAGTACAAATGAAGAATAGCCAATACCTCATAATTTCAAACCTTAGCAATACATTAATACCGGAATAGCTAAATGGCTCACATAAATGGAATAACATAATAAAGTGCACCAAGTAATACAGGGATAACTAAAGCAGGTAAAACATGAGATAACGAAAATATACAATTAATGCAAGTAGGAATATGTAGCATGTAAGCAGATATTGAGCGAGAAATGAATGGATAGAAACAAGTAACAACTAAATATCAGATAGCAAGTAAAGCATGGATAACAAGTAAGAACATGTAGCAGTTAAAGCATGTAACAAGAGATAACATGAAATAAATTAGGACATGAAAGTAAATAGCTCAATCCCTCATGTTCTGATCACATGACGATACATATACACTCGTCACCTCGCATATACGTCGATTCCCCACATAATTCACATAACAATAAAACAACAAATCCTAGTTCCCTCAAGTCAAAGTCAGACACGACGCTTACCTCACTCTGCATCCAAATCAATCAAACAACCACGACTTTGCCTTTCGAACATGCTTCCAAACCAACCGAATTTACTCAATTATCATTCAAACAATTCAAAATAAGCTTTAGAAACTACCCACTAATGAAAAAGGTTCAATCTTTGATGAAATTGAAAAGGTCAACAAAAGTCAACCCCATGCCCTCTTGGTCAAAATCCAAGATCCGAACCAAAATTCGATTACCCATTCACCCTCGAGCCCAGTTATGTGATTTGTTTCAAAATTTGACCTCAATTTGAGGTCTAAAGACCAATTTTGTAAGATTCCTAAATTCTACCGAAATCCCTAATTTCTATCATGAAAATCCTAGATTTGATTTTAAAACTCATAAAAAGTAATGGGAAATTGAAAGAAAGTGGATTAGAGTTGATTACCAATGATTTTGGGAAGGTAAACACTCAAGAAAATCGCCTCTAGAGTGTTTAGGGCTGAGAAATGGTGTAAAATGAGCTAAGTCCCGATTTTTTCATCTTTTATCCAACTGCATGTGTCGCATTTGGGAACTCTTATTCGCAAATACGATACCCGCAAATGCGACACGCCGATCGCAAATGAGATCAGTGCATTAGGCCTAACTAAGTCGCAAATGCGGATGTGAACTGCCCACATCGCAAACGCGTACAAAAACTTAGCAAATGTGAAGCTCACTCCCAGGACACTGTGTCGCAAATGCGACTCTGAGGTCGCAAATGTGGTCTCAGCTTGGTTCACAAATGCGAACTATTCTTCGCAAAAGCGAAGTTCTAGCCTAGCATCGCAAGTGCGATAAATTGACCGCAAAAGTGAGGCTTGTAAATGCGAGCCAAACCTCGCAAATGTGAGATCTGCAACTGAACACCAGGAAATGCATTGCACCAGTTATCTTCAACCCATCCAAACTCATCTGTTACACACCCGAAACTCACCTGAGCCCCTCGAGCTCCAAACCAAACATGCACACAAGTGTAATAACATCCTACAAAACTTGCTCGCTACCTCAAATCATCAAAATAACATCAAATAAGTAGAATCGATCATCAAAACTCATGATTTTTCACTTGAAAACTCATTTTCACAAATTTTCACATAGCGCGCCGAAATGCGCTTGGATCACCCCGAACCCCAACCAAAAGTCCGTACAAGTCCAAAAATATCATACGAAGCTACCAGAATTGTCAAAATATCGATCTGATGTCGTTTACCAAGAATGTTGGCCGTGGTCAATCCAAATGTCATTTTAAGCAAAAATTTACTTTTGACTCAAATTTTTATGTAAACTTTTTTTGGAAAATGACATGGACTATGCACGCAACTCAAGAAACATCAAATGAAGCTAATAAAGGTCTTGGAATAGTTAAATAAGGTCTAGTACTCAAAATGACCTATCAGGTTGTCACATGAAGACAGTGTGCAGTGACTCAGGTCATTTTCTAGTCTTTGTGGGATCGCATAGGAGATATGCCCTTAGCTCATTTTTATTTGCCCTGGTGATGGGTAAATGGTGCACGTTATTTGCAGATGACATAGTATTGATTGACGAGGCAAGGGGAGGTGTTAACACCAGGTTGGAGGTTTGGAGACAAACCCAAAAGTCTAAGGATTTCAGGTTGAGCAGGATTAAGATAAAATACCTGGAGTGCAAATCTAGTGATGTAACGCACAAAACGGACATGAAAATGCGGCTTGATACATAAGTCATTCCGAAGAGGAAGTTTCAAGTATCTTGGGTCTATAATCTAAGTTATGGAGAGATTGATGAGGATGTCACTCATCGTATTGGGTAGGGTGGATGAAATAGAAGCTCGCAACCGGTATTTTGTGTGATAAAAATGTGTCATCTAGACTTAAAGGCAAATTATATAGAGTGGTTGTTAGACCGATTATGATGTACGGAGTAGAGTTTTAGCTAGTCAAGAGCTTTTATGTCCAGAAGTTGCAAGTAGCGGAGATGAGGATGATGAGATGGATGTATGGGTATACTAAGAGAGATAAGATCATGAATGAAGATATTCGAGATAACGTGAGAGTGCCCCATGTGGTGGACAAGTTGCGAGAAGCGAGGCTGAGTTGGTTCGGGCATGTAAAAGGAGATGCCCAGATGCTCCAGTGAGAAGGTGTGAGAGGCCGGCCATGGTGGGTTTGAGAAGGAGTAGAGGTAGGCCTAAAAGTATTGGGGAGATGTGATAAGGCAAGATATGACTCATCTTCAGCTTACCGAAGACATGGCCTGTGATAGGAAGGTGTGGAGATCGAAAATTAGAATAGAAGGCTAGTAGGAAGTTGCGAGTGTATCCTTTTACTTTTTGTATGATCAATAGTATTGTCATATATTATTACGAGTTGTTTCTTTTGTTTTAGTTTTCTTGTTATCATGTTGTTGGTACTGTTTTGTGTTATTGTTTCCTTTTCATGGTTTATACACTATTGTTTTCTTTTCAACAAATGATGTGACTATGCTTCGCCCGAGCCGAGGGTCTATCGAAAACAATCTCTCTACCTTCACAAGTTTAGAGATAAGATTGCGTACACACTATCTTTCCCATATCTCACTTATGAAATTACACTGGATTTATTATTATTATTATTATTATTACTGTAGCAATTGGATTAAGAAAAACGGTGATACAATTATAAGATTAAAAAAAACTTTGTAGCTAAAAGTGTGAGATTGCCAAATCTTCTGAGTAAATATATAAAATATGTATTATCTAAGGTAATCAGTTTAAAGTGAAAGTGAACTGAAAGTATAAATTATTTTGTATTTGAATCAATTTAGAATTAGAAATCTTATGGTAATCAACTCCTTTAAAGGGGAGCCTGAGCGTAACTGATAAAGTTATTGCCATGTAACCGAGAGGTCATGGATTCGAACCGTAAAAACAACCTCTTGCGAAAATTCAGGATAAGGCTGCTTACAATAGATCCTTAACAGAAAAAAGTGCTTACCAACACTTGTTTAGCAAACACATCAGCAGCTTTTTTCAGCTTCAATACTTCTATCCCGACACATAACTAGTTATTTATAAAATCAGCTCTGGCACTTAAAGTGGCTTTTAAGTACCACTGCTAAGGAGTCACTTTTTTTCAGCTCATCCAAACAGACTCTACTCCATGGAAGTTAAGTTAGGAGAACCGGGTTCTTTCCTATGACAAGGAGCAGTACTATCATTCTCATGAGTTTTTACTATCACTTGGTTTTGGTAAGAAAACAGACAGTAAGGTACTAGCAGCATTTTGGGCAATTATTTTCGGTTTACAATAGGGGGGAAATCATCTTACATTTTGTCAACTTTTTCCAGCTGCATAAAGCAGCAACAGATTGGTTGACAAATGACAATACTTTACCCAGTAACACCTCTTTACCAAATTCCTTGCAAGCACTATCAGGAATGGAACAAAAAGAAATTGTTACACCTATGTGTTAGCATAATTATGTAAAAAAATCCCATACTGAGACTATGGTTTAAGTGAATGAAAAATCCTGCAACTGATCGATCAATCCAATATTTGAAATAAGCAAAACTATGACAGATTTTCAGGGTATTACATGCTTGGATTATCCATGTTCTTCATGCTTGACAATCTTGACGGTGAGCTCCAAGGTGCATAATGAAACAAGCTACCATATCCATTCCGGCATGTTGTGCTGAAACTTCTAATCTCTCTTTTTCTCTTTCTGAGGCGTCGGCTTTTGATATATGATAATTTGACTTAAGATGGTACCATTCATCAGTACACCAAGCGCAGACCCCAAGGCAACTGCAAGCAAATCAAGGAGACTTGGAGAGTTAAAGGGGAAGGATTGATCAAATTACAAAGATCATACAAGGATAGACGTGAAGCTGAAACTACGCCAGATGATAGAAATAAATTTGTGGTAGATCACTCTGGACAGTTCATACGGAATTAGAAACTCTAGACATCCTTTCTGACGTGGAAATCTTTCCTTAATATTGTTCAGGGATCTCAAATGTTCATGGTCTACTATCAAATATGAAAAATCATTTGCAGATAGTCCTCGTTAGCAAGATGAACGATGGTACGATAATAGACTAATGGAAACAATAACGATGGGGTCCAAGGTAGGGATGATGAAAGGATTCAATGTAACTTGTAACTTGTAAGCCATAGGATGGGAGGATTATATGAGTTATATCTTTAAGAGGGTACTAACAAGGGAATGTATTGATCTTGTCAATATCATTCTGTAAGTTCATTCGTAAAGACTTCAAATTTCTTTCTACTTTTCATTTTCTTTTTCATCCTAAAACCTTTTAAACACACTGACTGGACAAGCTGACTATATCACATTCGACTGAGCCGCAGATAATGGTGAAAAATTGGCTAGCAGTCGCACAGTGGGTACCGTAACTCCCACGATACCAGTAAGTATTCTAATCATAGTTATGCACGTTTGACAAAACTAGATCACGACAAAGAATCATCAGCTTGTAAGTCTGAAATAAAATAAGGTACTGATGCGTCCATATTCCAGAAGCAGTGCAAAATAATATAGAGGTACAGATCAAACCGAGTAAGAAAGGATACCACTCATGGGAGCTTTTTCCTGGAGACTGGTAAAAACTCTAACTGCATCATGTAAAGGTAAAGGAGATGAGAACTTCATTTAGTACCAGACAATCGGCATGCAGAAATTCGCAGTCAGAGTTAACTTACCCATGGAACCGGCAAAGTTCATAAAAAAGGTCAAAAAGCTCAGCTCGCCAGTACTTTTGTTCTGCTCAAGTAAAAGCAATAAAAAGAAGAGCGTAAAATAAAGGACAACCAGGAAAGCCAGAGAACATCATAGATGAAACCACAAAAAGATGTCTGAAAGAAGTCAAATACATGGGGACTGCAAATACAGTGACGGGCGGTTGCTAATCATTTGATTAATGATATTCAGTCAAGAAAAAACTATTCAGGTCAGCACATTAATCTACTTCATGTGTGATTTCAGCTTTTACCCAAATATGATCGAACTTATACTAGTCTGCTTTAGAGCCACCAGCGCTTTCTTTCTTTTCAATCCGTCATAACATTGGCCTCATTCACACAGCAAATAGGAGAAAGTTTTCAAGGATTTTCAAGGTATGAGGGCAATTACACTTCCCATTCGATCCACAATAAACACATCTTGTTTTGGTAGGAATTCAAGTTTCAAGTCGATCCACAGAACAACAAGGTGTGTGACAGAGAAATATGCATGACAAGTCATAATATGCCCTTTAACAGGCAGTTGATCCTAGAATACATTTAGTAGTTAACAGCCAACATAATAGGTAAATGAATTCATTATTTCAGAACTTGGCCAATAAACCAGGTTACTGTTAACATACAAAAGACAGCTTCATGAAAATGGGAACCATCATGGCATGAATCTGTACCTTAAAGTTCTTCCATATCTGTGGAATCCTTGCAAAAAGAAAGATTGCATGTTGGGAAGCCTGAAACAATTAAGTTTGGTTAAACTGTTAGATTAGATATACTGTCCAACATCAGAAGAAATTATCACGCTTATTGTATAAACCATTTATAAAAACTCTTACGCATAAAACACTTATTTAACGCATTCTTCCAAACTCTGCCCTATTTCCCACATGGTATCAAGCCTGTAAAAATTTCTCTTTCCTAATTTCAGTTTTCTGGTCTCTTTACAGTGACCACTACTGCACCTTTTCTTGTTGATTTTCCGGTGATTGTTCCCCCGCTGTACCTTTTTCAGTGACTGTTCTGATTGCATTGTGCCTCTTTTCGGTGATTGGTCCAGCACTACTCTATTAATATTCCAGGGATTATTCAGTCGCTGTTCCAAAACTATTTCTGTTCAGTAACTATTCCAGCAACAGTTGCAGTATGAGTGCTGCAACTAACCAGCACCGGCAGTTCAAGTGCTATGCTTCAGCATCATTTTGCGAACTCAAGGTGACTTAACCACCTTGAGTTTAAGGAAGAGTGTTAAAATGTTAAAAATTGCATCATTTAAATTATCCCACATCGGAAGTATTATGTATATTGTATAAATCATCATTCATCCATAAGAAATGCTAGGCATAAGATACTTGTCACGCATTCTCCCAATCCCTTCTCTTATTTCTCATAATTTTCAGAGAAACATGAGCAAAAGGTAAAGTGTTCATTTGAACCCTGTTAATGAAGAGAAATATGCAAATCTTTTGGAGTGTTTTATCCCAGAAAACAAACAGAAATAGGAAAACAGACAAGAGATAAAGGCTACCACTTACATATAGAGCCTCGAAAAGAACGGGATCAATTTGACCTGCCAAAACAGTCGGTGCAACAGCACAATATCTGTTTACCATATCAGGAAGAACTGCAGATTCGAATTCCAAGAAAGGAATGACACCAAGCAACATAAGTGGTCTAAAATAAATGGATCAATTATATTTTTATGCATTTGAATGGGAATGTCTGCTGTGAACCAAAAGGTGGAGCAGGTTGGAATTAGGATACAGTAATGGTTTCACCCATGTCTTCATTCCCAAAGGTTGAGAAAAATAGTAGATAATTGCAACCAAAATTATAGCTGCAAAAAACGAGAAGAAAAAACAAAAGATATTAGAGATGCTAAGCCAACCATCACAAAGTATGAAAAATGAGATTTTAAACTGCCATGAATTTACTGAACGCTGACACCCATTTTTTGTTCATTGCCTTTCCCTAGACTCTTTGACTAGAATTTTTATGAAAGGAAAACATGAAAATGAAAAATTGCAATAAGAGGCACTAATTAAAGGCTCTTGCAGAGCTTCTTGAAGGTAATGCACCATCTGCTCAATGAAGTTGAAGAATAGAAAGCGATGTCTAATCATTCAAAACAACCACCCCCCTAAAATGCAGATTTGAGAAGCTGCAATGCCCCTAGTTTCTCAAGATATAGCAAAAGGAACTAAACAATCTTGTGTTATTGGCATGTCAAATGTACCTTGGATCAAAAGAAAAGCATACTCGCCAAAAGCTGAAAATGGAAGCCCTTTGTGAAGACAATATGCCAAAGCAATGGTATAACCAATTAGTTCAAGTTCAAAGGCCACAACGCTAAGCCCTCTAACACTTTTGTGTTGCAAAATTTTAAGTATCTGCATGAGGAACAGAAACAATAAACCACACACTTAGCTCAATCAGTGAATCACATGTTTCTGTGAAATCATCAACGAGAAGTTAAGGGCAAGAAACTAAATGCCATCCTTAATTATTATTCGGGTCATAATTACTATTCCAATACTTAGTCTTTTAAGGCAATTATGAGTTATCCAAACCTAGATATTCTCCAAAACTTCTTATATACACAAATATACAAGTCTCTAGTCAAAATAAAAGGACTCAAATCGACGTCACTATAGCCAATTAACAAACAAATTAAGACAACCATTGACAACGTAAGCAACTTCTCTTGCCAAACATCTACCCAAAGTACCAGCAAGATAAAACAAAAAGAAAATTAGATATCCACAAAAAGACACCAATTAGTGAACATTCTTATCAAAGGCAAAAAGCGCAAAAAAGCTCTAAGGTCCGTTGGGGCTTTAAGCGCAAAGCGCAAATAAAGAGTGGGCTTTAATGAAAAAAGGAGAAAACATACAAATATTTATGTGTAATCCAAGACTAATTATTATAAAACATGAATAAAAAATATATGGATGGAGAAATTGAAGAAAAATAATGATAAAGTGAAATATCAATGGCTTAGTGTCGCCCCTTCAGTATTACGCTTATTGGAAAGGAAAAGTATGCCTTGGAACCTTGATGACGATACTGAATCGCCCGCTAAGCGAAGCGAAGCACTCTAAATGTTTTGCGCCTTGCTTCAGAGCTTAAGCGCACCTTTGACAATAGTGTTAGTGAAACGTCAAACTTCTACAAAATGGAAACGGGGTCGGCAAGAAATCCTTTTAGCAATATGAGGAATGGGCAGCTAAGGATAAATGCGGGATTCATAGAACATTCAATTCTAGAAACAAATTATTTAATAATGGAATGAAATGAACTTAAAGAGTGCGAAAGATACAGAAGATTCATAAAACCGCCCTATTAATGCACCAAAGGTTGTGGTCTAGTGGTCAATGAAGTGGAGGAAGACCTTGGAGCCCAGAGTTCAAATCAAATCCCAACATAGACAAAAAGAAAAAAGAAAAAAAAAAATAGTTGATTTCTTCCCATTTGCCTAAATCTAGGTAGGTAGAGTTGCCTGGTACCTGGTGGAAGGTAGAGGCTACCCAATAAAATAGTCGAGGTGCAAGCAAGCCAGCCCAGACACCACAATTATAAAAAATAAAGCTTCCCTATTTATTTTGTGGATCCAGGCATAGTTTATTGACTGATTTTTGATAAATGGGCATCTTATCAGGCAGAATTGAATTGAACAACCAGCTCGTACATGACAGCAAGAGTTTATATAAACTAGTTATCAACTCTGAGTATTCAAGAAGTACCCATAACTTAACTGGATCCAGATTGTAACTCCATCGAATACTGCTATCACAACAGGACCCAATAAATAAATAAATAAATAAATAAGACTAGATTTATGAAGGGCTTAAGGTAAATAACCTGTGGCAGTTTATCCAACTGGTCATATCAAAGCTGTAAAAGTTTATATATTTGGTTATCAACCCAGCCTATTCAAGATATACCAATAACTTAGCTGGATCCAGCATTGAGCTAATTCAATAATACTGTCACAAGAAGACTCAACAATATATAATCACTGGATTTTTAAGGGCTTAGGGCAATAACCTAAGTTAGTTTAACCAAAGGACTCTAACTCGGAGTATTTAAGAAACACCCACTACTTAACTGGATCCAAAATTAAGCTAATTCAAAATTATTTTCACAATAAGACTCAATTAATACATAAAGACTGGATTTTTAAAGGGCTTAAAGGGAAATTACCTGAGGAAGTTTAACAGTAGTGGAGGCAGCAACAATGGCATATCCCAATAGCTTGGATATTAAAGGAAGCAAACAATCTTTTTCTGGGAATTCACCTTTGCTAAGGGATCCAAGTGCACAACCAAAGTCCATTCCAAGAAACTTTAGTTCTACCATTTTTTATCTGTCAATTGATGGATCGATAACTGGTTATTGAATAAGCCCTAACGCAGAGAAATTTGTTCAGATAATGATTTGAGATTGTTTTGGACAAAACTAAATGGTATTTCGGGAATGATCCTTAAAGGGTGCGACTTTCAAGTTTCAACAAGAACTATAAATGAAGGTTACGATTAGGTGGCATTGTGGCAATTTATGGTCCCCACATTTTTTATTTTGTTTAATTTATGAAAATATCATACATATAAATACATTTTGCACAATTAGCCTAATAAGAAATATTATTTCTATTTACCAAAAGAAAAATTATTTGTCTTATTTTCTAACTTATTGATTTTACTGATTATGAGTTATACATACAAGTACATTTAAATCGACTAAACTGACCGAACTGTACCGCACTGAACCGATTTTTAGGTTTTTTTTAAAGAAATCATAGGTTTTTATATAAATCTATAATTGCATCGATAATTAGGGTAGGTTTTTTATTTTATAAAAATAAACCAAAAAAATACTGAACCGTACCGAATAAATTTTATATGTGAAAATATATTTATATAGTAAGTTTAAAAATAATAATGCATTAAATTTTTCTTTGGGCTTTTTGAATTATGAAAACTGTTACAAGTCAACAAGTAATCAAACTCAAAATAGTAATTCCTAAAACATATTATGCTACTTTTACTTAAACTAAGTTATTTCAAGTATCCTCATTAGCAAGTCACGAAGTATTCTAGCGATTATGAGTAGCAAACTACAATGTATTGAATATGTTTTCATTCATATAATTTAGATGTATCTTTTTGAATATTTAATCTTCTATAATCTTTATTCTTGAATCCCAACTTGGTTAATATCTTTTCACTCGTGTGATTTATATTTTCTTTGCCTTTGCTTGATTTCTTTTACGTTGTTGTAGAATAGTTGATGGATCTATACTCTAACCATCTTTCATTTTTTTTAATTCATCACTCTTTAAACAATAAAAATGTCTAGAGAATTTTGCTAAGTCCTATAAAAGAACGTATGTTATTGCATTCTACTTCTACTGGTGAATTTTACATGATATTTAAAAATAATATCGAAAATTAACCGAAACGTACCGATACCGAAGAAAAAACGACATGATTGGGACTGTTTCAAAAAATCTTTTTGTTATACATAATAGAATAACCGAAAAATTGGTATGGTACAAATTTTATAAAATAACCGGCCGAACCGAACCATTGACACCCCTACTAAATCGTTGTTCTTGATAGCAAATCTTCACAAATTAATTCAACTTTCTTAAAAAAGATACTTTATAACATATAAAAAATATATATAACATTCATATTGCACAGAGTTAAATGGCATGTACAATAATAAAGAGAGAGTGAACGATAAAATATAATTGAATACTACAAAAGATTATTTGTCTTATTTTCTAACTTATTGATTTTAATTATGAGTTACATTTAATTATACTTAAAACGACCTAATAGCATAAATAATATTTTTTGTCTTTTGTTTTATAGATCTTTAAAATTTGGCTTTTATTTATCTAACACTATAATTTTAATATAAAATATATCAAATATAAACAAATATTTCACATAATGTATCTTGTAATAGCATAACAAAGAATATCACACCTTTGAAAAATTACAAAAATGCTTTAAAAATTAATGTTTCTAATTTGATTACGCAGACTCTAGTAAAAGAGAAAATAAATCAAACAACCATAATGAAATATCTTTCATTGTAGAATTTTAAAAACTTGGGAAAGAAGCCCTTTGTCCCTTCCCATTGAGAAAGAGAAGCTAGAGCTTGTTAGATTTCGGTCCCTAATCCTCGAGATATCACATGTTCCTCTTGATAAATTTGATAACTAGTAGACATTTCAGTTGAAGAAATATGAGTTTTGCTAAGCCTTTTCACATTCGATGAGAGTTATATTCAAATGAAATGCGATTATGGAGTTCCTAATGTAGCCTAACATAAATATCAAGCAACTATAGTCCGGTTGCATGGCCTTGGAAATAACGACTCAAGTTGGATCAGATACTTGGTGTGTTTGTCTTGTCATAATATTATGTCCAATTACTTCCTTCCGGTCAATATAGTTGGTAAGAGGCTCCAATTCCACTGCTTAATTTGATGTCAAATACATTTATAAAGATGCATTAGTAGAGGGCTTGGAGCTTCAACAACATGTGGCAAGTAAGTTTGTTTGTTGAGAGCCTTCTAACATCAACCTTGGGACTGAAGGCTTCAGCGTAGGCAATTTTTGGATTATGTGGCTGGCTTCTTTGTTCAAAGTTTCTTCATAGGAATATGGAGGGGATAGAAAAGACTAGCTATAGCTTGTGTTATGCCATTGTCCATTATGCTTTGCATGACAAAGAAGATATGATTTTTTAATTGGGTATCATGAGAAGTCTGTTTAGAAGTTAACTAAATTTGAATTTCAATATGTAACAATTAAAATGCTACACAAACTCTCGGACTTACCATGTCTAGATGAGGGCAAAATGACCTATATTGCTAATTGGCTAACTAAGATGGTTTAAACGCGTTATTAAATAATAAATAAATCCCAAAACAATCCTTTCAATTTTAGAGTAGCTAGCTTCCTTTTCGACACTTTTTTATGGAAACATGGTGTCTCAACATGTTATCGTAGAATTTTTGTTTAAAAGCTAAATATTGATATGATTTAAGATAAAAGTGATTACTTAGTATTAACAACTTATTATGTAAAAAGGAATACCTGAAGTTAAAGAGAGCAAATGAAACAGGAAAAGGTTGCATCATTTCTTCCTGTTTTTTCCACCTCATCAACTCCATGTAACCTATCGATATAGCTACACCACTAATACCATAGAAAAATTATAGTGAAGAAATTTAATATGTTTCTTTTCAATCGCAAATCGATCTGTACAACTCGAAATACCAACCTCTGAGAATTATGCAAATAGTCTCATCGTCCACTTATCATCATTCAAGTTTTTCGACAATATGCTCCTTATTCTTGGCATGAATTGTGAGATAGCATGCTTTCATATGTTCGACATCTCCAGCTCCAAGTTCAAATACTTCAAGGCCCATGCTTTCATATGTTCAAACTCTGCCGGAGTGCCGGTAGGTGACAAGTCTTTTCGAAAACCAAGTGATATTATGACATATCAATTGATGTTTTAAAAAGCCGTCCTATAAGCCCAAATAGCAACAGTTGAACACTTCATACTTGAATTGGCAGCTTCAGCATGGGTAGCTACCTCCGTCTAGTCTGCAGCTTGCATTTCAAACGGGATGCTTCAAAGTGGCAATTCATACCCTGCCAAACTGAGAACTCCATCTCGAAATATCAACCTCAAGAATGCAAATAGTCTCATCTTCCACTCATAATTCAATACTTTTAATAGTATACTCCTTGATATGACAGTGAAATAACACGTCCGCGGGTGCAAATGACTTGTTCATTATTTGCTTATCATAGAGTAGGTTCCTCTAGTTGTTTACAATCTTGCGCTCTAAGTATAATTATTAAATACTCTAGGAAATGAGACTCGATAAATGTGCACCAATAGAAGTTCATCATTGAAATCTGCTATCCTGAATGATTAAAGAATGTATGGCAAATGGCAATTATTGTTGGAGGAGCTTCAATGCCTCAAAATCATGGTCTTTTGAACTTCGAATACAGGGTACGGTCCTATGGTTGATGAATTGTTTAATAAACACTCTATTCAATGTGATTTAGTTTGCTTGATTACTGCAATTCCTTTTTGGGTTGTTGTAAGTTTCACTCAAATTGGGGATAGTCTTTCTACTATCCAATTTTGACAGGTTTAGAATCATTTCGTACCAGTATTATGTCAGGAGAAAGAATGAATACTTGTTCAATCTTGAAAAAATAGGGGCAGAAAAAAACAGATGGTGGAATAAATAAATACTACTGTGTGATGAAAAGGTGCAGAAAATAGTCTTTGATATTATTGTTGAAAGCAAGTACAAGTGAATAGGGCTGGGCATATATCGGGTAAAATCGATAACCCGAACCGTTAATTATTTATTCGGTTAACGGTTAGGTAACGGTTTAGAATTTTTTCACTATTGGGTTATCGGTTCGGGCCTCGATTTGACAATTCTATTATTGGGTTAATCGATAACACAATAAGAATTAATGAAATTACTACTTTACCCTTAAGTATATACATATGCAGATATGCTAGGGCTTCATTCTTTCCTATTTTTTCTCAGCCTCAGCCTCAGCCTCAATCTCAGCCGCATTCTTTAGAGTTCAGACTCTTCACTCTTCAATTGCTTCACAATTTATATTTCTCAGGCCTATTCTTCAGCTTCATCTTCGTTCTTCGTGTAAGTTTTTAGTTGCTTCATCTTCATTGTTTACATGGAACTCATTTAACAATTTCTAGTCAAGTTTAAGTTGGTCTTCCACGTTAAGCACTCCAAGTGGTATGCAAAGGAGTTGTGATTATATGATAATTGTCTATGCTGCTCCAACGAAGTCTTATACTAGGAAATCGTAGAATCAGCTTTAAGAATGAAAAACTTCTGAGAATATTAATTGTAAAATCACAGAGAAAGTAGGTGTAGGATAAAATCAGTATGTATTTTGTTCAGTTGCCTTATGTCTAAATTATTTTAATTCGTTTTTTAAGATTTTGTCATGAAAATAGAACCTTACTGGTAGTGCATTCACCATTCAAAAGAAGTCACTGGTACTGCAGTGTGCAGTCAGTAGTAACACATTTGATTAGTTTCATTTGGTGCTCAACTTCTTGAGTAACTCTTAAGAACAATGAATTTTTAAGCTCAAATATGTGCATGTACCTTCAATTTGATAAATGATAAATACTTTGTATTGCGTAGGATCGGGAGGTTTTACTTGTGATTGCATTGGAATAACCATGCATTACATTGCTCTTTTATTTTTCTTGTATTCCAAAGTCCTGTTAACTAATGTGTCAACTCTTTTCAAGCTTTCAATTTGTTTTTAAGATTTTGTTGCCTCGCTGCTTGATTTCTTTTAAATTCAAACTCACAGTGACACAAACGCATGGCTGAAAATATCATAATTGATAAGGTGATTGGTGAAAGTGGAGCTTCTAATTCAAATGCGACAGCACAATCTCAA